GTTCTTACCTCGGAGGAAACTTGACGTTCTTACCTCGGAGGAAACTTAAAGTTCTAACCTCGGAGTAAACTTAACGTTCTTACCTCGGAGTAAACTTAACGTTCTTACCTCGGAGTAAACTTAACGTTCTTACCTCGGAGGAAACTTTCTGCCATTTCTGGCGGCACATTTCTCCGGTGAAGCTGCCGAAACTAACTTTGTCCCAGTCAAAGTGCGACTCGGTGGTTTTATACTTCATGCTGTCTGTGTCCGGCACCTGAGAGCGGATCTTCTCCAGCAGAGTCAGACAGTCCTCTTTCGTCCAGTCATCTGCGCGCGCGCACACACACACACACACACACACACACACACACACGTCAGCTGTGACCTCAGGTGTTGATAACGTCACAGCAGGTCAAAGGTTACCTGGTTCATTTTTTATCCTGGAGCTCTGAGCCGCCGAGACGCTGCTGCCGTTCATCATGCAGCGATGATGGAGAGCAGTCCGTCTACACTCACACACACAGAGACAGACAGACAGAGAGAGCGAGAGAGAGAGACAGAGACAGAATCATAGAGAGACACAGAGACTATGATTAGTTATCATCAGCGGTTGTCATGGAGCTCATCAACAGTGGAACTCGAGTTGTGACTAAAGACACTTCGTGACGTCCCTATAATATTATAATAATAATTAATAATAACAGACGACATTATTAACACTCTGATAACCGGTGTCTCTGCCCGCCCTCAGCTTTGCGGAGCCTGACTGACCGGCCGAGAGGACCGGTCCCCGGCTGTGGTGCGTCACCGCGGCCCGCCAACAAGGTCAGACTTTGGGGCGACAGGTTCAGATTCCAGCCTCTGTTCCCGCTGGAGGACGATATATATGATATATGACATATGATATATAATATATGATATATAATATGCGACTGGTCAGTCAGAGGGCAGCTTGAGTTAAACTCCATTTAAAAATCTGTCAATTTAAATCAAAAAGCGCTTCAATATAAACATGTTCCCCGACTGTCACGAGCAACTCACCGATTCGGCTGGAATGAAATACACAATGCAGCTCTTCCGTTACTGTAAAATCAGTTTAAAAACGGCCTGTTTCTAAATGTGCTTCACCCAAAATAAAGCACGGAGGGCGGTAGAGAGCCGGTGTTCGACTCCGCTCAAGTTTGTTAAAAATGAACCGTTTACGGGCCGAAATCACACAAAAACCCTTAGTGACAATCTGACATGATGCTGCATCAAATAAACGTCCATCTCCGGGTTTAGTTCCGTGTTTTCGAGACGTTTTGTGGAGCTGAGACGTGGAGTGAACCCAGCGGGCCGTCAGGCTCCAGTTGCCCGGTAATGGCGTCCGTCCTCCGGCAGGAGTCTCCACGCAGCTTCCGCTGGCACGCAAACAGCTCCTCTAGACGAGCTGGCGTGTAACCATTTTAGGAAAAAATGTGGAAAAACTGCGATGATTTTAAAACGAAGAAAATAAAATAAAAACAGAATTCATCGAAACGCTTATTTTGTTTAACTAAACATTTGACACGTGCAGCAAAAAAATCATTTATAAAAAAATAAAATCTGCTTTAAATGATTTAATCCTTCGACATCCGCGTGTCCGGGTGTTAGATTGTGGGATTAAAACGTGGAAACGTTCGTGTGGTTCTGGACCGAAGGAGAAGCAGCTGCTGCCCCACAAACCTTCACTGACGAGCCGCCATGAACGTTCTGCTGACTCGGGGACAAGGGAGCAGAAAACACCTTAAATCTGTCTAAAATCACCACCGACGACTCACCTTTAGGTAGAGACAGAGACCCGGGTAAACACCGCGCACCGCTGGGCTACCGCGGGTTATTTCGGGGCTCTCGAAGTGTGTGTTTTTCGGCCGTAAACCCCGGGGAGTCCGCTCGAAACGAATCCGACAAAAGGAGCGTCTAGTCCGGTATGAAACTCCGCCCCGCGCCGCAGGGGGAGGACCTCCGGGAGAAAACATGAGGAGACAAAGGCGGAGGATGAAACCAGAGATACCTCACATATATAGTTATTATTTCATTCTATGTATGCAAACATTCAGTTACTATGTTAAAAAATAACTGCGACAGCGTCTTTCTACGGAAACCTACCCGCCAGACTGTCACCTGGTCCGGGTCCAGATGCTGGAGACCGGCGGTGAGACAGAGGACCGGCGGCTGGAGGCTGTCTCACGGCTCCGAGAGGAGGAACCAGAGATACCGCGGAGAGGCATCAGGGCGGCCGGCTGTCAGGTCTCCTCACCCGGCCTGTGGAGGTGTTCATCATCAGCGGCTCGGAGCCGGCATAGGGGGACCAGCAGCCCGCATCCACATGACATCCTGCCCGCTGACAACACACGGAGTACCGGTCTGATCTGACCCAGTCACCGGTCTGACCTCACCGAGTCACTGGTCCTCTCTCTCTCCTCCACACTGTGAGCTGTGAAGTTAATCACTGATCAATCAATACATCCAGCTGTTTGATACACCTGTCCTCCTCTGGGACCCAGGTGAGGGAGTAAGAGTGTGTGTGTGTGTGTGTGTGTGAGAGAGAGAGAGATTTTTAGAAACCTTTATATTCTTAAAACATGAAAGAACAACAAAAAGTTCCCATGGCAATCAATTAGAAACAAAACAATCAAAACAGTTTCTCTTCACTATGTTTTCAAGGAGCGTTGTATGTTAGCTCATCTCCAGACACACAACATTGTGCTTCATTGTTGCACCATTTCTCAATGAATCCTGCATGTTGTTCATACTGTTGTTCATGTTCAGGTTCTGTCTGCTCACAGTGTCGGCTCTCACACCCGTTCCCTGTGTGGAGGTCCAAGAGTTTAGACTCTGTTTCACTGAATGATGGTCCTGAGACCCCATTCAGCTCTGGAATAAATCCTAGATCTGGAAATAGATCTGTAGAGTCAGGAGCTTCCTCTCCTCTGTCGTCCTCCTTCAGGATCTCAACCTCGTCCTCCGTCAGACTCTCCGCCCACCTACTCGGGATCATCATCATCCCGAGAAGCCACTGCAAGTGCGTCTCAGTCCAGGAACAGCTATACCTCCACCATCGCCCTCAGGGCAGTGGTCCCAGTGGAGCACAGCATGTTGCTCAGACCTGGAGTCGTGCCGTCCTGGATGTCCATCTTGGCTCCGTTCACCAGCGGTTCCTGAAGCAGCCAGTGTGAGCATGTGGGCTCCGGTCTCTTTACATTTAAAACGGTTAAATAAATAAAAACCAACAAACAGAAACTTGTCTTTGACTTGCACTTAGACTGTGAGAACTTATTCTCAGTTAACTCAATCATTGTTCAGCTCTTTCTTTATTTTCTGAACTATTTTCTTCAGCCTGAAGCCTTCCTGCTTTGTGAGACCTCCTCTGTCTTTGCTGCTCATATGTGCTCTGACAGTTGGAGAGCTTCTCTTTGTCAGAGAAGTAGTCCTCCACTTTAGCTCATTTTACATTTTTACTCCTCAGCAGATAACTCTTTCTCTCCTCCACACTGTAGCCTTCAGAGCTCCTACAGCTGCCATCCCTGTATTCAGAGAGCTCACTGTCAGCAGCAGAGTCCTCCTCCTGACTGGACTCAGAGTCCTCTTCCAGACTGGACTCACACTCAGCTGCTCCTCTACTTCCTTTCGTTGCCACTTTCTTTGCCTGTGAGTCTCCACTGTTTCCTTCCTTTTTCCTCTTCAGCTGAGGGGCTTTGAGCTGCTCCTCGTCTCCCTCCATGTCCACCTCACTACCTGTCTCCACCTGTCCTCCAGTACTCTCCCTCACCTCCTGGGCCCCACTTGTCCCCTCCTCCCTCACCTTCTGGACCCCACTTGTCCCCTCCTCCCTCACCTCCTGGGCCCCACTTGTCCTCACCTCCTGGGCCCCACTTGTCCCCTCCACCCTCACCTTCTGGGCCCCACTTGTCCCCTCCTCCCTCCCCTTTTGGACCCCACCTGTCCCCTCCTGTCCGTCCTGCTTGTCCCCTCTGCCCTCCTCAGTACCTTTCTGGTTCTGGTTCTGGTCTTTATTTGAACCGTTTTTCTCAGGACAAGCTCTACTCTGATGTCCTTCTTTTCCACAACTGAAACATTTAAAGTCATCAGTCTTTGCAAAAATCACATAGTCAAAGTCCTCTACTGTGAGTTTGAACACGAGGTTTACCTCCCTGCTCCTGTTGTTCGGGATCACGAAGAGCTGTCTCATGTGAGACACCACGTGCTTTAACAGCGGAGATTTACACCCAGAGGACACTCTCTTAACTGGAGACACTACCTTCACGTGTTTGGACAGCTCTCTGGTTATTGCCTCGTCTCTAATAAACGGTGGAACGTTGGACACAGTGACGTTTACGGGTAGTAAGTTATCGTTCACCTCGATCCCGTTCTCTACCATCGTGTTCACATTTTCTACACCAGGGGTATTCAATTAAAATTCCAAAAGGTCCAGATTGAGAAAATCTCCTTGTGCAAAGGTCCGGAACATTACAATAATATCTAACTTGCGCTATTTAGTGCCATATACACACGTGGACTAAATTGTTGGTACCCTTCCGTTAAAGAAAGAAAAACCCACAATGGTCACTGAAATAACTTGAAACTGACAAAAGTAATAATAAATAAAAATGTACTGAAAATTAACTAATGAAAATCAGACATTGCTTTTGAATTGTGGTTCAACAGAATCATTAAAAAAAAATAATAAATAAAAATGGCCTGGACAAAAATGATGGTACCCTTAACTTAATATTTTGTTGCACAACCTTTTGAGGCAATCACTGCAATCAAGTGATTTCTGTAACTCATTGAGACATCTGCACCTGTCAACAGGTACAGTATATTGGCCCACTCATCGTGAGCAAACTGCTCCAGCTGTCTCAGGTTTGAAGGGTGCCTTCTCCAGACTGCATGTTTCAGCTCCTTCCACAGATGTTCAATAGGATTTAGATCAGGGTTCATAGAAGTCCACTTCACAGTAGTCCAATGTTGTGCTCTTAGCCATTCTTGGGTATTTTGAGCTGTGTTTTGGGTCATTATCCTGTTGGAGGACCCGTGACCTGCGACTGAGACCAAGCTCTCCGACACTGGGCAGCACATTTCGCTCCAGAATGCCTTGATGGTCTTGAGGTTTCATTGTACCCTGCACTGATTCAAGGCACTCTGTGCCAGATGCAGCAAAGCAGCCCCAGAACATAACCGAGCCTCCTCCATGTTTCACAGTAGGTACAGTGTTCTTTCTTTCTATGCTTCATTTTTGTGTCTGTGAACAGAGAGCTGATGAGCCAAAAAGCTGGAGCTTTTTGGCTCATCAGCTCTCTGTTCACAAAAATGAAGCTTATCTATCTATATATCATCCATCCATCCATCCATCCATCCATCTATTTCTGAGGTTCAGTTACTCTGATGACCAGCAGGCTGCAGCAGCGCGTCATCGCTGCGTGAAAACCACAGAAGAAGACGCGGCAGAAGAAATGTGTGGACGGACCGAATGAGCCTGATTAGCCTGCAGGCTAACTCTCTGTGATGTGAGGTTTATAAACTTAACAGTAAGTATGTGTTTCATCTTATTCATCCGTAGCTTCTTTAATTAGCTCATAACTGACGCTGAGAGCTGTTGGCATGTAGCATAGCATGTAGCATAGCCCACTTCCTGTCCGGCTGTTAGCGGTTAGCTCAGACTTGTAGCATTGATCTGAATCAATAATAACCAGTTGATCACGTGACCTGCAGGTAACTCACACCTGAGTCCGTTATATTAGTACAACAAGCAGTGGTAGTAGAAGTACTCACATCCTGTACTGCAGTCGAAGTACTAATACCACACTACAAATACTCTGGTACAAGTACTGTTAAAAATACTGCATTCAAAAAGTTACTGAAGTATAGGTATGTATGTACAACCAGCAGAATGTACTTAACGTAGAATACTCACTCTGAAGTTACATTATTATGTACTATTAGATAATCAATATTAGCGTAGTGCACACTAACTGTACGGCGCGTAGTGCACACTAACTGTCTGGCGTGTAGTGCACACTAACTGTACGCCATGTAGTGTACTCTACAGTAAAACCTTCAGTGTATTGTTGTTGATAAGCCCCGCCCCCTTTGTGCAGGTGTGTGACCTGTGTTGACCTCAGCGGGCATTGCTGGGGGGCGATGGCTCTGATTGAAGGAGTAGGAGACGAGGTGACCTTGCTGTTCTGCTCTCTGCTGGTCCTCCTGGTGTTGCTGCTCGCCTGGATCTCCACCCGCACCTCTGAGCCCCCAGAACACCTGTTCACCTCCACCATAGGCCCCGTCCCCTCACTTGGGACCAGCCCCGTCCACCAGGACAGCCCCCCCTCTTCATCCTCCTCACCCTCCAGCTCTGTGAGTGACAGCTCTCTGACAGAAGCTCTGCCCACCAACACCTCCACCCAGGAGGAGAAGGGGGCAGGGAGGCGGGAGGAGGGAGGAGGAGATGGTATCAGGAACAGAGAAGGAGGAGGAGGAGGAGGAGAAGACTCTTCATCCTCTCAGAGGAACATGGTGGTCAGACTGAAATTTCTGAACGACACAGAGAGAACAGCTCAGGTCAAACCACAGGACACCATCGGATACATCAAACGGTAACAAAATACTTCATCACTACTGCACCTCTACTACATCACTACTGTACCACTACTACATCACTACTGTACCACTACTACTGTACCACTACTACATCACTACTGTACCACTACTACTGTACCACTACTACATCACTACTGTACCTCTACTACACCACTACTTTAGGGGAGTGTTAGTGCTGGTTTTAACCTGTTGATCTCTACCCTTTCAGGACCTACTTTGCGGGTCAGGAGCAGCAGGTGCGGTTGATCTATCAGGGTCAGCTGCTGCAGGACGACGCTCAGACTCTGGCCTCCCTGAACTTGGTTCATAACTGTGTCCTGCACTGTCACATCTCACCGCACGCTGGCCGGGGGGCTGCGGGGGGGCCTCGGCCCGTGGACCAGGTGCAGGTGGCTCTGAATGTGGGCAGCCTGATGGTCCCCCTGCTGGTCCTCATGCTGTCGGTGCTCTGGTATTGTCAGATCCAGTACAGGCAGTTCTTCACCGCCCCGGCCACCGCCTCGCTGGTCGGCGTCACCATCTTCCTCAGCCTGGTGGCCTTCGGAGTCTACCGCCGCTAGCTGCTCTCTGATTGGCTGCTGCCTCTGCCTGTATGGTGATGGCAGCAGCCGGGGTGGACCTCTGACCTCAGAGCCAGCCGAGACTTCAAACAGACGCTGATAGTTAATTTGTTTTTTCTGTTGCCATGGAGACAGCGAGTGTTATGAGGACTTTAATTAGTTTGTTTTTTAGATCACGTTTCTCTCTAGGTTTCTCATCATCGTGCCTCTTTTACTTTCTGGTTTGTCTGGTTCCTTCTGGTGCTGAAGGTGTCAGACCCCTACCAGACTGTAGACCGGACCCGTCTGCCTGCTGGATGGAAAGTCTTTTGTGTCAATTACAGCTTTTGAAGAAAGAAAGAAATTCTATTAAATCATTTATTTATCTTGTTGTGGTTCTTTGTGTCTCTGGAATCTAACTGAAGAATTATTAAAGTCCATTTACTCTTTAAAGTTCGGAGCATAGACCTGAGACATCGGCTCAGTCCAGATGTTCACTCTCTCAGACTAACCCACAAAGTTCCAAGACAGAGGTTGAACATCTGGACTGAGACTGTACTCACTACAAAACACACTTAGTTCATGTTCACGACAAAACTCAGAGGATCAGAATCAAATAAACTTTTAATCATCACAGGAACCAGTGAAATAATACATTTAATGTTCCAGGAGTCTTCTGAGTCAGCCGTTTCCTCTTCAGGTGATCAACTCTGCAACACAGAGAAACAATATGATCTTCATGATGGATGTTGATCCACAATGACAAACAAATAACGCCAACTGAATCAAAACTAAAAACTAGGACCATAATGACATGTATGCAACAATAATTCCTGATATTTAGACAAACATTGCTGCTGTAACGGTTTGTGTATTCGTGCCGAATGGTTCAAGATGTGGCGGTTCACGGTGCGGCGCCATTAACAGGTGTTGAGGTTAACGCAATGAGCTGATTGACTGTGTGTGATTTACAGAACACGGAGTAACTACATCGTGACGCAGACAGGTGTGTGAACAGGTAAATAAACTACAGAGATGCAATGAAAAGAATAAAGCCGTCACACAGTCTTTAGACGGTGTCATGTGACTTCCTGTGTCGGGGCAGGTGTGGGCGGAGCTACAGTGATGTCACTACCTAGCTGAGCTGACAGGTGTTCAGGTAGCTCCACTCCTGCAGCTTCTAGCAGGAAGATGGTTTCTGTCAGAGGGAAGCTGGATGAAGACTCTTCATCATCGCCACGATGGTGAGTCACCTGCTGCAGACTGCACACACACACACACACACACACACACACACACACACACACACACACACTTAAGAACTTCTGTGTTGCACCTTTTAAAACTTAAGAATCACACTCAGCAGCTCTCAGGTGGGCTCACCTGTCCCTGACTGAGTCCAGCAGGTACTCCATGTACAGGTGTTTCCACTCCTGTACGATTGACAGCAGGGAGTCTTTGAAGGTTCTGAGGTCCACCTGCAGCCAGCTGTGCAGAACGATGATGTCATCCAGGTGAGTCACCTCTCTGCTCAGTCTGTGGAGAGACTCGATCTGAAACAGAAACACATCTCTGCAATAAAACACCAGGACAGGTGAGTCTCGCCTCTCTCTGGATTAAAACACCTGGACAGGTGTGTCTCACCTCTCTCTGGAAGTCCTTCAGGGTGGGCGGGGCTTCCTCCACCTCCACCTCCTCGTCTCCCAGCTGTCTGCTGTAAATCAGGAACTCCTGCATCACCTCCCTCCTGTCGCTCTGCCACAGGTACGCATACCTGTCCAGCCCCGCCGACAGACGCTCTGCCTCCTCCTTCACCTGCAGAAGGCGATGCATTACTTCCTGTTCCAAGGCAGAGAGATCCGGACTCTGCTGCAGGGACACCTGACAGACAGACAGACAGATTATTTTTCAGAAACAGCAGCCTGCAAAGAGTGAGTGATGTCAGACTCACCTGGTAGTTGCTGTGGCGTCTCTCAGAGACCCTGAGAGGCAGACTGGCTGCTGAGTAGATGCTCTGCAGGAGGTCAGAGAGGCCGACGCCCACTGACGGCTCAAACACAATTCCTGTTTCCTGCAGCTGCAGACTGACCGTCAGAAACACACTGCAGCTCTGCACACAGACACTTTAAATCCAACAACATATTGATGATAGAGAAGCCTCCATACTTTGAATTCCTCAGATTCCAGGTGTGTGTACCTGTGGGTTCATGTTGTCCAATAAGAAGGTCAGTGATCTGAGCACCAGCTGGAACAGTCCATCCTGGACTTGGTCATCGATGTGGTCCAGGTACTTGATCCAGGACTCAGAGGAGACTTCAGCTCCGTACAGACTCCTGTTCACCTGAGGACACAGAAGAGTCATATCAGCACCTCCTCCCTACCTGACTTAACCTGAGCACCTCCTCTCCCTCTCCTCCTCCTCCCTGAGTTAACCTGAGCACCTCCTCTCCCTCTCCTCCTCCCTACCTGAGTTAACCTGAGCACCTCCTCTCCCTCTCCTCCCTACCTGAGAGAACCTGAGCACCTCCTCTCCCTCTCCCTACCTGAGTTAACCTGAGCACCTCCTCTCCCTCTCCTCCTCCCTACCTGAGTTAACCTGAGCACCTCCTCTCCCTGCTCCCTACCTGAGTTAACCTGAGCACCTCCTCTCCCTCCTGTCTCTCCTCCTCCTCCTCCCTACCTGAGTTAACCTGAGCACCTCCTCTCCCTCCTCCTCCCTACCTGAGTTAACCTGAGCACCTCCTCTCCCTCCGCTCTGATGCGTCTGTAGGTCTGCTCTGTGTCACTGACCTCCAGCAGTGAGTCACCTGAGCGCTGCAGCAGGTGAAGCTCCGCCCACTCCTGCAGGAGAAGAACCTTAGCACCGGTTGCTAACGGCTAACGGTGCTCACAGATCAACTCTGACCTGTGTGATGCGTGTCACGACGGCCATGTTGGCTCTGGCCCGGCTCACTGAGGAGTGGATGAGCAACAGTCTCTCTCTCTTCTCCTCCACCAGCTGCTGCACACCTGGACACACACACAGTACAGGTAGAGAGACCAGCCCACTGCTTTATAACCTGTGTCTCAATTCAGGGGCTGCATCCTTCGGAGGCTGCATTCGTAGATCGGTTGCGTCACAGCGCTGCGACTAGGCTGTCCCATTTCACATTTTTGTTGAAGACTCCTTCAAATGCAGCCGACGAATGCAGCCTTCTGGTCCCAGATTTGGAGGACACATCTGATGTATCCTTCGTGCCTTAGGATTGCTATACATATATATACATACACATATATATATACATATATATACATAC